GAGAACCAAATAAGCAGATTTTTGAGTAGTATGTGACATTGAAGACTGATCATACCATCACTGGAATAAATTATTTATTTATTATTTATGTTTTATAGACAGAACAGAATTAATCACATAACGTTGAACAATTTAAAAAGCTGATTGTTATTAAAAACAATTTCCATAGACTCCTTTTATTTTGTTTACCCCTTTTCTTAGGAATAAGTAATTATAATGATAATATATTTTGTCTTGACATCTTGATGCTTATACTGTATATAATATACATATATTCAGTCATCACTTTTATAAAAAAAAAAAAATAGGAATAAAGAAAAGCAAAAACAAACGAGAAGAGATAAGCCAAAAGTTCTGCTAAGGAAATTGATGGAGAGATTGATAGGAGGAGTAGATGAAGTAAGGAGGAGAGAGCCGAGAATGTCCTCACTGGTGCCAGGATCTCAGACTGGAGTCTAGCGCCCATCTGTGTGGCATCTGAGATCAAACATGTTCCCTAGCATTTCGAGCGGCAGATAACACTGTCTGGGCGCTGCTATTATCCTGGGTGCTGTCAGACAAACTGGCCTTCTAACAAAGAACGGCACACAGAGCCATTAAACTCTCTTCATCCTTCAACCTTGCATGTCTTATTCATCATAAGCCTGCTGCTGCATCATCAGCACAGTCTAAAAATTAAACATGCAAAACTATACACTAATGAAACATTTCATACGTACGTTACACTGAAAAAAATGCTACTAAATTTTTTTAAGGTAAGTGGTCGCAAACAATTTATTTTAGCTACATTTAATTTAAAAAATATGTTGAAAGTTAGTCAAATAAATTTGTTTATTTAAATGTAGCTAAAATAAATTGATTGCAACCACTTACCTTAAAAAAATTTAGTAACTTCAATTCATCATTTTTTTCAGTGTACATGAAATCCAAGTGTGAAGCAGAGAGCGAGAGATACTGAAAGAGAGTTACGCAACTCAATCTGAAGGACCGCTCAATGACAGCTACACCAAAGACAGACAGAGAGGCAGGGAGGAAAGTAATTACACATGTTGTTGCGATGGATTTCATCTCCGTGCAAACATGGCTCCGATCAAACCACATATGACTGCACACTTGTTCGCCGTGCAGATGTGTCTGTTCCTGTTAGTCAAAGTCAATGAGTCAGAGATGAATGATGCCAGCTCAGCACGAACATCCGTAATATTCCATAATCAATCATGAGATTTTCAGCCGAGTGTTTCACATCAGTACTTTGTCACAGAGAAATTAGCATGTCATTCTTGTTTCTGTTTAATTAATTGTGACCAAACGTTTTTTCCCCCTATAGTGTAATAGGTTGAAATTACTCATCTTTGTGTAAAATGTAATAAAGAATGCTATTTTATGACAGATACCGTAGTAATACATCAATATGTCATCAATATGACTTGTAAAATAGATTCATTTGAAAATATGAGCTGTGGCCTAATAATAATTGAGCTTTAGTGCTCATGGAGGAGACACATATATGTGAATATATTTTGATGTAATATATTATGATATAATATATGTTATATGTTATCCTATTACATCACAATATATCCTTTTATGTTTTAATCGCTCACTTATTACATCACAGTATATTCATATTTGCTGTATATATCAAATATTACTATACTGTAATACATTTGTGATACAATATATTATGTTTTTCATATCATAAGGATATTTTGCGAGAGCTGTATATGTAATCTATAGTATGGTAATGCTAACTGATCATAAAATTTCATAAGGATAAGCATTTGATTTTCATTTTTTTTACCTCATGAATCAGTGAAGTTTTACATTGCACATTGTTCAGGAACAAAAATTATACTAAATATAATTTAATATTTAAATATTGAAATTGTATTGGTTTTTTAGTACTTATATATGTTTTATACTGAACAGCTCTGTACTGAACAGCAAAATAATGTTGTTGGTCTGTGAACTGACTTCTCTAACAAGTCAGGAACCTCCCACAAGAGATGTTAATTCATTTGAGGGCCCTGCAAAAGCAATGAAAGGTGCTGTTGAACTCTTCCTGCAGGCATCGAGAGTGTTTCATTAGACCGAGTTATGTATAGTCGACTGTGTAAAATATGCATGCTGTGAGGTTGGCAGTTGAGGCAGCTTGGTGTGACCCCAACCCAGCCGCTTCACATATTGCTCTAGAAACATGCAGCCTGGCTGTGCTCCCTGGTCCTGAGGAACAATACTGTATATTTCACAACCCACAGAATCCCCAGTCACTTAGCATTTATGCGCGCGTGTGTGCGTGTATGTATACTGTATGCACTGACATGCAACAAACATGGTTGAGAGGTTTGATTTAATTAATCTTTAAGAGCCACAAAACCTTTCCTAGAGAGTGTAACGAATCATCCACTGAAGGCGAGTTGAAGTGAGAACCCAAGTGCAGCTTTATTTACAGTGATCCAAACATCCAAACATAATCCGAGACTTGACTTGACATGAAAACAGACGAAGACTAGAGACACAGACTTGACTTGACGAGGCATGAACAGACTTGACGAGAACAGACTTGACTAGACTCACTGACAGCGGGTTACAACATCAATACACGACCAGAGACAATGGCAACATGATGGCTACTTATAGCAAACAAGAGGGTCACCTGACAAGAACAAACCAATGGGAAACAAGACACATGACTAAGACAACCAATCAGAACATGACACAATGAACAGGGGAATCAATGGCATGAATACGTGAGGGCAAGGGAAGCATGACACAAACAGGGACCATGAAACAATTACAAAATAAAAGACATGGAAAACATGAACATGAAACAACCCCCAAAACACCACATTACAGAGAGCTATGCAAATCAACCAGCTGTCCTTCAATAAAAAGAGGAGGGAAAGGAAGAGGTGAGGCATGAGACCGAGGTTAACGCCAGTGCAACACAGAGAGAACCAGAGAAGCAAAGACTGGAGTTAACCCTCATGTTGAGGGGTCTAAAAGAGCCTAAGGCAATTTAATAGCTTGAAAAAAATATTGAAGTCTTATAAAATGTTCCATTACTCATGTTTAGGGTGAGAGCCTAGATATAAACCATGAATAAATGCAAGGAACTGTAAATGCTAAGACTCGCTGAGATACTCTCAACTTCATATTGAATATTCAGTTGGGTTTATTTCATTTAATTGTTGTATTTGTGGGAGGTCTAATTGAGGCCTAACAGAAATAACATTACTGGAAAGGATACCAGTCACATTCCTAAAAGGAGTGGTTTACTATATTGTAACTAAAAGAAAACCTATGTCTGTCTGTCCCTCCGTCATGTCGTTCTAATATTCTAGAATATGAAGCTTCAAATTTCTTCAAAACTTTTGAACGGTTTTATCTAGCCAACATTTTGTTTGTATTTACAAACTTTGCTTTTCTAACTAATTACAGTTATATGGATTCCTTAGAATTTAAATTCATTTTAACTCTACTTCCTTACATTGAAACTCAAATTTAAGGCTTGAATTGGAATTTAAGACATTCTCAACTGATTTCTGAATGACGCCAAACCTGTGACCCCAAGCTTAAAAACAAGTCAATTTCATCCTAACATGAGGGTTAAAGCTATAATATGAAAGAGTAAAGAAGAGAAAAACAAAAAAGAGAGGTATAAATATTAAGGTGAAGTGTCAAGAGGACTTTTTTGAACCATTCCACTAGAGGCTAAGAGCAGAATCTGAAGGGAATCCCCTGCTAGACTACCATGGCTGAGGTGGATTTCGAGCGATAGAGACCTACAGATATGAGCTTGGAGATAATCCATATTTCATAACCCACAGTCACTGGGGGGGTGCCGAGGAAGAATTCAATCTGATCTGAAGGAGTCCAAGCCTAGTCATGTCTGTGTTTCTATAAAAAGCACAGCAGGCTGCTTAATGTTTAAAAAATAGCTGAGGGACATGTGAGAGTGTGTGAGTGTAAGGTCTATCCTCAGGGCATTTAGCGGTGTGAGGGAAGGGGCGGCTCTGGGAGAAGAAAAAGAGAATGTATTTTTAATGCCGCACAAATAGTTAATTTGTCCTTCTATGAACGATTCCTGAGTGGCTTTGCACTCAGAGAGCGATTTGAGAAAAAAAAAAAGAAGAAACGGAAAAAGTGGTGGCTGCTTTCTCAGCCGAAAGCGGTGAGTCAGCAGCCTGAAATGAATGAATGGATAACAGTTATAAAAGGACAAGGAGATAAACTCAGACAAATAATTGCACGAAACTTCATTTGCAGCAGATGGAGGAATTTGTATGATTCCTCATAAACTTTTAAAAGCCTGAGGGTATTGAGAGCTGTTCTGTTATGTAAACAGCCACTTTAGATGTTCCAGTCATTACTCGAAACTGCATTGCAAGTATATCTGATAAGACAATAATAGAATCTTTGCTAGGGGCTCTCTGCATCTACCAGCAAGCCAATATCCACTTTTGCTAGAAAAACTGCATAGAAATGTACAGCGCTTATATAACCAATGTGTTGCATTACCTGTTTATACTAGATAAAATATACTGACAGCACAATATCTCTCTTTCTTTAACATATACACATACCAGGGTAATTCAAGTTGTGACAATCAGTTTATGAGCTGCAAATCACTACATGACATACCAGAAACACTAGAAAAATTATATAAAGCAATAGAAAGTGTAAAAGAAATCTAAAAATAAATTTTTATTGATTTTTTGTTGTTGATATTATTATTATCATTATTACCATTATTATTAGCATATATTAACAGGTCAAAAGTTTGGAATATATATATATATATATATATTTGTTTTTTTAATGTTTCTGAAAGTCTCTTATGTTCATCAAGGCTGCATTCATTTGATGAAAAATATATTAAAACAGTAATACTGTGAAATATTATTACTATTCAAAATAACTGTATTTTAATATATTTTCAAATGTTTTTTTATTCCTGTTTTGGCAAAGCTGAATTTTCAGCAGCCATTACTCCAGTGTCACATGATCCTTCAGAAATCATTCTTACATGCTGATTTGCTGCTGTTATTATCAATTGTTACTGGTGCTCAATTAATTACTAATAGTGGTTCTTATTGTTATCAATGTAGAAAAAGGTTTTTGCTGCTTAATATACTGCTCAGTATTCTTTAATTCTGTTCAATAAATGGTATTTACTTGAAATAGAAACATTATTTACTGTCACGTTTGATCAATTGTGAATGTGACCTTGCTGAATAAAAGTATTATTATTTTTAAATCGTATACTTCAAAGCAAACCCAAACTTTTGAATATTAAATAGTAGACTTTTGATTATTAAGCAGCTCAACTGTATTCAGCATTGATAATAATAAGAAATGTTTCTTGAGCAGAATCATCATATTAGAATGATTACTTGACACACAAAGCACAAAAAACAGTAACAGACATTGCAAACAAAATGTGTTCCAACACTCGCCAGTCTCCCCTACTCAAAAAACCCCATCAGCCTGTGTGTTTGTGTGTACAGGAGGAGAAACAGCTTCTGTATGGATGAAAGCTTGGATGGATGAAAGCTACCGCACCTTCCTGCAATATCCGGTTCCAAATCTCCTCTCCTCCCTCTCATGCACTCACATCCTCTCAGCTTCAAAGGGTCTCCTTTCCTGATCCTCTCAGACACCTTACGCACGGACTCATTACAGCATTCAAACATATACGGAACACACAAATGTTACAGATCACGTAACCTGACAGCCTGTCATCTTAGGAGCTGCTGAAGAGGGTCTAAAGGAGTTTTAGCAGACAGTTTTTGCCTGCGGCCCAATGCTAACACTCAACACATGAGCCCCGTGTGCGGTGTGCATCAGACGGCGCAGGATATTGGAAGTGTCTTTGGTGGATTATCTGCCTGTGAACGTGCAGATTGGGTTGAGGATAATCCACACGTTGATGTTTTCCTCCTGGGGTGAATGAGAGTGACAGTTTATAATCAACGTTAAGTAGAAACAACCGCCAAGGATTACATAGTTCCTTCGCTCGCGGCTGTTAGGAAGAGGTTTGCGGAAGATACATTGTTTCAGCCGGTAGTCTGTAATCTTTAGTTTGAATTCCAAATTGCTAGATAGGTGCTTCTCATGCGTGAGGTTTTCTCATATTTCCAGGAATTTTATTAAATGTCCTCCTGAGCAAAATGCTCCCGCTCGGCACGAAACTGTCCATGGAGATGGTTCGCGCAGAGGGAAGGGAGAAAGAGAGGGAGTTTTTCATTTTCTTTTCAAGTAAATGCCTGAGGCTTATCGCTGCCTCTCTGCACCAACTGCAGTTGGCCACAGAATCAGCAGTGATGAGATTAGGCTGAGTGTGATTGGCGCAGACTCCCAGCAGAGAGTGTTTGCGCTGAAGGTGGCGTAATATAGGTGGTAGGTTTTTCATCAGGCAGCTGTGGATTTGGAAGTGAGGGAACGTGCTGAATCGATGCCACACAGCAGAGCAGAGCTAATGCACAGCCATTAGTAATCTTTAAAGGGCAAAGTGGCATGTTATCTGTCTGTGTTACATGGCTAAATAAGTAGAACACTTTACTAACACACACTGGATGCTGAGTAAAACTTTTCTACAGCAGAAACAGCACTACTAGGTGCAGGTCAATGTGATTTACACAAACAGGACAAGTTCCTGGATCAGCTTTTTTTGTTGTTCCTGGAACAAAATTGGAACTTGTCCTGCTTGTGTAAATTACATGAAGATCCAGACAGGAATACTAAAATCAGCCATTTACATTTACATTTAGTCATTTAGCAGACGCTTTTATCCAAAGCGACTTACAAATGAGGACAATAAAAGCAGTCAAAACTAACAAAAGAGCAACAATATATAAGTGCAAATGACAAGTCTCGGTTAGCCTAACGCAGTACACGTAGCAAGGTGTATATATACTGTATATATATTATACACACACACATGTACCCACACACATATACACACACACACAAAGAAAAACAAGTAGATAGAATAGAAAAAATAGAAAGCTAGTGTTTGTTTGTTTTTTGTTTTTTTTATAAAAAAAGAAGATAAATATAGATAAAGTAGAATTAAAATAGATTAGAAAGTGCTAGAGTTAGAGGGTCAAATAAAGATGGAACAGATGTATTTTTAGTCGTTTCTTGAAGATGGTTAGAATTATATATATATATTACCATTCAAAAATTTGTGGTCAATAAGATTTTTCTTTTCTTTTTTTAAAGAAATTAGTACTTTTATTCACTGAGGATGCACTAAACTGATGGTCACAGTAAAGTAACAGTAAAGACTTTAGCATTGTTTCAAAAATTTGATTTAAAATAAATGCTGTTCTTTACTATTTCCACAAAAAAATACTAAGCAGCACAACTTTTTTCACATTGATAATAATAAGAAATGTTTTTGCGTACCAAATCAGCATATTAGAATGATTTCTGAACAACCACGTGACACTGAAAACACTGAGTAATCATTGCTGAAAATTCAGCTTCAGGAATAAATTACATTTTAAAATATTTTAAAATAGGAAAAAGTTATTTAATTTTGTAATATTTCATGATATGTTTTTGATCAAATAAATTCGGCATTTTTATTTTTTAAATAAAATCACTTTTATAATGGAATGTTTTGCCATTAACAATGTGACTGTGCATCATACAGTCATTACGAAGGCTGCCTATTGATTAAAGTCAATTACATGATATGCTGATTCATTCATAAAGTTCATCATAATTAATCATAAATATCAATATTTGCTGAGAAAAGCTCCTAATTAGGATAATAGAATAATAAGATAATATGGCATTGAATAGCCATTATGAAAAGTGGCTTTAGTACTCAGTGTATTGTTTGGATTATTTCAGTATCATTGAACATTTACTGTCCATTTGCAATTGAGTTTGTCAGTCTGACTTAGGTAGAATTAGGGTCCATTCACACATAACCTGTTTTTACAGTCTGTCTGCACTCATTATTAATAGTACAGATGTCTTTTCGGGTTGTTTTGTGGCATGAGTATTTTAAGATGTTGTGCAAAATCTAAGCAGCTAAACCTTTTGAAACAATATCTAAACACAAGAACGCATTCATCACTCTCTCTATCAATGATTCTTTTTCCTGTTGACAGCCCTAGGAGAATAAGCTGTACACCGTGTCTCTCTTGGTCTCTCCGTCTTCCCCAGGAGGAATAGGAGGAGGAGGATAGTGTTAGCAAACTGACCCTGCTCAATGACAAAGACAAAGTAAAGAAGTTGTTTCGTGGGCTGCAGGAAGATCGAGAGAAGGGGGCTGCCTGTTGCTCAGTGCAGTGCACTATATGGGATGAGTGGGAGAACGAGGAAGTGGTGCGCTGCTCTCTCTGTAGACTGCCAGGATGAGTAGGCTCTTATTGTCTTCTGCCCTTGTCAAACGCCTGGAGCTCTCCAGGGTCTCCGCAGCCCAGCTGAGGCTCTATTCATCTCCACCTGCCACATCCCGATAAAGGTACAAGAGAGCGCAGTGTTAAAAAAAGAAACCGAGTTAGAAAGGGAGAGGGGGAGATATGACTCATTTTGAAAGCATCAGAGGACCAGCTATACCTGAGGGGAAGAACAGACAGATGGAACGGTGTTAGACAACTCGCACACATATACGCAGACGCACACAGACCCAGGTGTGCAGTCTATTCTCTTTCAATGCTTCATTATGCAGAGAATATTCTCTCTGTTTCTTAACGCCGCTTGATGCTTTTCCTCGTCTGTGTGTAAAAGAGAGAGAGGCAGTCCCACCTGTTTGTTGTGTCAGGTTTTAGACTGGTAGGCAGGCTGACTAATGTTGCTCACCTGTGCTCAGTGGCTCAGGAGGTCCAGAGAGGCCTGTCACAATACGGCATATTAAACCAGAGAAACTGGAGCATACAGAAGGACCTCACACACACACACGCTCTCACAGTTGTATGCATACGCTGGTGTTTTTCGATTAGCTCGATGAACAGGGCGACTTGTAGCAGATAGGCTATTGCGAATGGTGAATGGTATGAATGAAAATGTTTAGGGTTACAAGATATTTTTGAATTTTTGCAGATACTGATCATTTTGCTGATACTAATTTTGATGTTAACAGCATAGTTTAGAAAATAAATAAAATCTGCTGAAAATTTACCCACCCTCAGGTCATCCAAGATGTAGATGAGTTTGTTTCTCCATAGGAACAGATTTGGAGAAAGCTAGCATTAAATAACTTGCTCACTAATTGCTCACTAACCTCTTCAGTGAATGGGTGCCGTCAGAATGAGAGTCCAAACAGTTGATAAAAACATCCCAATAATCCACATGACTCCATTCTATCACCTAACATCTTGCGAAGCAAAAAGCTGCATGTTTGTAATAACAGATCCATCATTAAGACATCTTATGAAATGTATGTTTTCAAAAATGTTGTTTTTTACTGTATATGTGCATCTATTAAAAATATATTATCACACTATAGTTATTTCTTGCTGTATAGTCAACATAAAAATGTTTTATATATTGCATAACCATTTAGAATTGCCTGATTGTGGCTAATTTTGTAAATTAAATACTTCACCAATTATGTCATTTGATTATTTTATTTTATTTATTGGAACTTGATTAATGCAAACCAAAAATTTAAGATTATTCATTATAAATGAATGTATAGTTTCAGTACTTAAAACAGTAGTAAATTATCAATCTAAATGGATGAGCCACATTTGAAGATATGAATACCCGTGACAGTGTGAACGCACATCAACTGAATTCTGAATTAATATGGCAAGTTGCGATGTTGTTTGGCAGCCGTAAACAACCAAAAGCTGCAACGTGTTAACACCAGGCGCGAGCCGCATGGTTTCAAAACTAATCATTATAATCAACAAAGCCACCTCAACTGAACTGAAAAGTATTCTGCAGTAGAAAAGATATAGCAGAATATCTAGCTGTTGATATGAAAACATACCACCCAAGCATGCAAACAATGGATTTAACCATCCCTTTTGTAGAAAGATCTGCATTGGAGTTACATGACTGAACAAGGCAGCCATGATTGGCATTGAAGCCTGTACAGATGACAGCTGTCTGCATGACCCAAACTGAAGGGAGCAGATGAACCGCAATGACTTTTCAAATTCACACAAAAAAAGTAGCAGACAGAACTCCAGTTCTTTTTAGGCCTGTTCCTGGTGAAATGTTACAAGTTGACACCTCCATGTCTGGGCTCTGCGAGGTGGACAGAGATGTTTCAGCCAATTAGGGAACAGCCTGCTCATGTCCCAGTGCTAAAATGGCAAATCTGCTAACAGTGAGCCCGAGTTCAGTCAGTGTCAGCTGTCAGACCAGATTTCACACTACCATTGCACCTGCGTTTGTGTATGAATCATTAGTTAGCATTATGAGCGATGTGTGTGTTAAATGTGTTTGTAATGTGATAGAATGCCGCTCGATACTCAGGTCATATGTTGTTTTTGTAGAGCATTACTCATTTCTTTGGCAAAGTGAAGTGTGGGACAGTGTGATCATGACTCAACTCTGTTTTTCATGAGAGTGTGTTTGCTCAAGGTTGTGATATAATGTGGAAGTTGACAGAAACTCTAGACAGGACAGTATATTAAGGCCGTATCTAGCTGCCCTGGAGATTTGTTCCTTAATAAAAGAGCGAGTAAAAAAGACAAAAAGGCAGACAAAGGGGGGTGTTTTAGCAGCCGATTCACTAAAGGAATAATGAAAACGGTTCCAAAAATGGCAACAAAATCTCTGCTAAACTGCATTTTCATTGCGCTAGTCCATATTTTGCAGGTCATATTTTACTAGAATCTTTCACTACTTTGTGTAATGTTAATAATGTACATAAAACATTTTCTGCACATTATGTACATTGCATTTACATGTAAAGTGTGTTTGTGTGGAAAAAGCTGACAGTTGCTTAATTGAAATGCTTTTTCAGTGCATTTGATTACAATTGGTTAGTGAGTAAGATTTCCACTAAAATACTGTGCGCAGAAGTGGTGCAAGTGAGTTTGTCCCAGTGAGAAGTGGAGAAAGAAAGGGGGACACATGGTTAACAGAGCATGTTTTTCCTCTTCTTTATTTCTCTCGTATGGAGAGATCCCACCAGGCCAGCACCAATAAACACGTCCAGTTTTAGCTTTTTTACAGAGGGTTAACCATGAAAAAGAGAACTAATGAAAACCTTATGCTGTGTGCAGTTCACAGCATTTTATTGTCTTTAAAATGCCTTGCACATCGGCCATAGTTTCCACTATAGTGCCTTTATATCTCTGATACAGGCTCTTTACCCTGCACCCTATTGATGGGATTCTTTTAAGGTCTATTAACATTAGGATTTTTAGTAGCAACATAAAACCCTGAGGTCTGTTATCTCAACTGGTGAATCTCAGCGTGTTTGAGATGCAGGGCCCTACATTATATGACATGCAAACTGCTGCATTACTCTTGAATTAAGATTCAGAATAGCTACTCCTGCTAAAGGCTTATAAAAGTATCCTAATGGGCTTTTCCACGTTGTAGTGAAAAGACATTTTCATCAATAATATGCTAAAGGGTCTATCCTTGCACATCACATGCAGACAAACCTCTGTTCTTTCACATTGATTAATCCGTCAGTGTTTGATCATTAGCACACAACAGAATTGATTTAATGGACTTGAGGTCGGAGGTCAATTAGAGCATCTCATCACCTCCAATTCTCATTAATCCCAACACAACTCAGGGTTAAAGTATGTGTGTGCGTGTGATTTGCAGTCTATGCCACTGGACCAACTGTAGTACTTTATACTGTAACACTTTACAAAAATTAGGTTTTAAAAATCAGAGGATCCTTTTGCATCTTTTAATAAAATGTTTTCGATTCGTGCCCAATCAGTATGATCAGAGGACATGAGTTCTTTTTGACAGTTTAAAAAATATATTTTCCTTTTGATGGTTCAAATATTCTTTTGTTCTTCCTTATCTGTCAGTTATTCATGAGGCAGATGTTTCATTGAAATTTCAAATTATCTTCTGAAGGGCGAAATCTAAGGCATCATGAATATGAGAATATCCAGAGCTAATTATGAGTAGAGCATTTAGACATGCTCATCAACATTAGCGGCAAATACTTTAATGTGCCTTATCAATCATATCAGTCATGGAATAGATTTATACTATAAACATCTCATTCTGCCAAAGACATCATAATATTTCCAGGCTGTAAAAGATCGATAGAGAGAGCAGTGCTTTCTGGAGTAACACTTAATTAGAAAAAGAGGCTGACCTAGTGTTTTTAAAAAGCCATAAAAGTTTGCATATTTCTATGAGACTTGCATTAGTGGAATATAAATCCAAGATGGCAAATTTCTTATATTTTATTCAGTACTGAAAAGTAGCGATAACAATAGTACAGCACGTAATTCTTTAAGTTCTGCAGTGCTTTCCGAATCAGTCACTTAGAAATATAAAAATAACTGGTGGATGCTATAGGGGCTGTTCACACAGAATGCATTTATGCATTCCACTTCACAGGTTTTCCATTGTTTTTTATGTAAGCACATGCTTGGTGCATGTCTTTGACCATAGCACTTGCATCTTGCCACTTTTTCAGCACCGCACTCAAGTTAATGTAAGTGCAACTTAAAAAAAATATATAGCATTTTTTTCCATTCCTCTGACCTTCGTCTCACATTTTTAAATGCAACAACATGCTTCTTATGTAGCAATTAGGCAGCAAGGCAAGGTTTTGTAAGATATCTAAGGCATTATTAGTGTTTTTTAGAATAAAACAGCACCCACATTCTGCCTTTGTGTTGACAGGTCAAAATCTGAAGACAAGGAAAATCGTGTCTCTTATTCTCTCTGTGTGCCGTTTACTTTCTTATTTACAGTATTGTATGCATATATTAATTTGTTATGCTGCTGCAAAATGAGAAGAATAGAGTTAAGAATTTCCCTTCATGTTACTGAATAGAGAAATTATGTGCTAATAATGAATCACATCAGCAATCAGTTTATGAATGAAGAGAAATTTATTGAAAAAAACAAAGAGGTTGGAAGTCACATTTCTGTTTATCTGAAATTTGTATATTTGTTTACTGAAGTGTGAGTTTGCTCGTCCACCATATCAATGTTCTTGTTTTTTTGAAAGATGAAGTATACCCAACTGGTGTGTGTATACTCTGAAAATCTTCTGTGCAGCCCCCTTGAAGCAGGCATCATTAGTGTGTTTTGCTGTGTAAAGTCAGCGGGCTCTGTTGGGAGTTAGCTTGCTAACTTCTCACAGATACAGTGTTTTTTTTCCTGTCAGTGCTTGTCACCATGTAGCAGAGGGGAACTGTCCTCCTCTTGGCACTCCCTTCACACCCACCAACAAAATCTTGGTATGGTTTGTGAACGCATGTGATCATAAAATAAAGGTTTCGGAAAGACTAACCTGCTTTGAGTTTGTGACACACCACTGACAGCTCATTCCACATTTTGGCTAATACCAATTAAAGACAACTGTGTATTTTTCCTGTGTTTTTATTACCTGATCAAATTAAACACCTGTGTACTGGCAGTATGAGGGGAATACAGTGGTCCTGTAGAAGGGAAGGAGAGGATGCAGTGTGTTACATTTTCGTTGCCTCTCACAAGTCAAGACAAATATGGTTTTCCCTTTTATTTCCCTACTGAGTGAAGTCAAAAGTGTTTGGCTGTGTTCATGTGACTTTCCATTCATGTCTGCTGAACAAATTCAGGCACCACTGATACTTTTATTGTTTTGTGATTGTATTTTGGCTTTGCTGATTTTCTGTTTACTTTGTTTCGATTTTTTCTTCTCTGCCCTAAAGGGATGAAGTGATAAATAGACAGGCATCCATCGGTGTGGTCTGTGCCATTTCAAAGGCTGTACAGTCTCTATTAACAGAAGTGTTAGAAAAATATGTTTTTGTTTCTCTTTCAAATCAAAGGTGTCATAAGGCTATTAAGGATTGTTCTGCCCCAGTTTGAACCCCAGGTTAGACCTAGATTGATGTTTCTTTTCCTCCTGACTTTCCTTCTTTAGGGCCTTTATCCAAGTCAAACAAATGTTGTTTTCATGGAAAGTCTTTTCATGGATTGTTTTCCAGCCTTTCTTATGTCTTTATGTCTGTTTTGTCTGACAGAGGCTGAAAGAGTTGAAGCAGAGAGAATTTGCAAGGAATGTCTCCTCCAAGTCCTGGAAGGATGAGAAAAAGCAGAAGAGAGCTCTGAAACGACTGCACCAGCTCGCACAGCTTAAACAGCAAAGAGACAGGTAAAACATTATATACTTACAATATCAATTTGATATAATGCATGCATGCATGCACCACATATTAGATTTAAAGAGAAATTAGATCTTTCAGCTCTGCCTAATAACAACACTGTCTTCTGTTCTTGCCAACAGTGATGACAGGAAAGGTCCAAAATTAAGGTCTACAAACAAGGATAAGGATCAAGTTAAAATCCCCTCGGCTGGCAGTAGCAAGTTTGACACAAAACCAACAGCATCCTCGGTCCAAGACTCAACTCCCATCTCCACAAATGTCTCTTTGAAGGGCTTGTCCTCTACTCGTATACCCACACATCAGCAGCTATGTCACGAAAAGCACCCCTTACAGACAAAATCCTCTGCAGGACACCGGAGCCCCAGGGCAGGAGTCTCGTTCTGTTTCTCCAGGCGAGCTCAAATGAAGCTTGACTCCTGTGCGTCTGTGTTCAGTGATGGACTTGAGGAGACCAGTGAATATCAAGAGCTCCAGCGCCATAGGCACAGACTCGCCTTAGAGGCCCTCTGGTCCTGCTCGAGCTCACCCAGAACCCCAAGTAATGATGACCACGATCTATCCCATGATCCACCGACTCTGGGATGGGCGGATGGAGACTCTCAAACACCACAAATGGAAGCACAAGCAGAACATGTGGAAAGCCCTGAAATTCAGGCAAACTACAGCACAAGTGAGCCAGAGAAGCTGGGGTGTCCTGACACACAAAGTCCTGGAGCAGACTGGAAGCCAGCTGGTTCAGAGGACAGATCGCATTATGGGGGGCAGAGGCCCAGGGCAGAGGGGGCTTATGGGGGATCAGAGGAGAGAGAATGCCTCAAATGCCCCGGCCCTACTGTTTACACAGATGGACAGGGCACCATGGCCCAAGGCCAACCTCAAATACACAAAGGCTCACACTACCACACACAGAAAAGCAACGAACAGGGTATTATGCAAAATGAGAAGAACTGTATATCAGAAAAACAGACAGATGAGTATAAAATATACAAAGTGTGTAAGGATGAAAATACAGATTCTTTCCTTAATGTACTCAGCAAGGATGGAAGTGTGACAAAATGGCCTTTTGAGATGATGCAGTACACGTCCAACGAGCCACATGTATCTTACAGCTGTAACCCTCTATACTACCATTTCAAAAACAAGGAGGGCAAAGTAAAAAGCACAAAGGCTATGGAGACAGATCTTGTTGTCGACAAGCTCGCAGGCCAGAATGACAGAGCTCGGCCACAAACACAGGATGTTCCTGGAGTTAAATTAGGCATTTTAAAACCAAAGAGACCCAAACAGAGGAGAAAGGGGAAAAAACGTAGGCGTAAATTAGATGCTGTCAGGATCCAGCAAGCGCGCTGTGCATTCAAAACCTGCTCACAGACAGAATCTAGAGGACACTTTGAATTCCAAAGCACTCCAACCGACACGCCACAAAACAAGCAAACGTGCACAGAGAGGAGGCACAAGCTGGGGAAGAGGAAAAGATCAGTGAGAGATGAGACTTCAAATGAAAGTGACACCCCAGAGCACAGCCTCAAAAGCATTGTTGTAAGCTCGCTTTCCACCCCGGCACGTAAAAGGAAGAAATGTCAAACGATGAGGGGGCTTGTGTCGGCGCTGCGCTTGGTAAGGCGAAGGCCTTTGCCATATTCTGTTCACAACACGACAGGAAGAGAGGATAATTATCGCTGGTATGACGACACCTACGATTCAAAGAGGGATACTGCCTCAACTCCCACCAGTGACAAATCTGGGTCATGGAGTGGCCTGTCAGACTTAAACTCAGATGGGGAATGGCCTGTGTACCACACGGGGAGATGCTCCACCTCACCAAGATCAAACTATTTGTACCCTTTGAGAAAGGAGCACAGTCAGTCCAGGTCTTGCATTAGAAGTTCCTCTTACAATGATCCTCACTACAGTTATAGTCCATGCAGAGATTTTGAACATACGGGAGAAACCTGGGATTACACAGACTCTTATGTCTACAATAAACGGAAATATTCAACAGTTTGTAACAGCCCAGATCAGCATGAGAGGTACAGCATCAGAAGGCACAAAAGGTTTACTGAGGAGCATAAATACAGAGAGCACAGAATTCAACATACAGGCAGGCAGTTGTTTTATAGAGTCTATGACAGTCCTGAACCTCAAGAGGATGTCAAGGACTGGTGGTATGAAAGGCTTAGCCCTGTAGGTAGGAGGCACCGGGAGAGAGAAGAACTTCCTTGGTCAAGTCCTGAACGAAGTGAAGACAGGTGGTATAACAAGCCAGTGTCCATTCGTAGCCCCAGTTCCTCTAGTAGCACTAGCATCTCTGATCTTAGTGGGGACTGGTTGTCTAATTCTCATATTAGGCCATCTCCTACTAGACAGAGCCAAAAACATTGCAGTCATTCTGGATGGCCATCCGAGAGATTGGTCAAGACCAAATCCTCCCATTCTCTTCTTAGAAAGAGGAGTCATTCACCCCCATTAGCTACAAGTAACCATGCAGCTCAGACTACATCCTTACAATCAGGTGTTGGGATAGATCATGTTACAGACAAATCTAACCCAATGCCGACAGACCAGTTGGTTGAGAAGGTTCCTAAAGTAAAGAAAGCAAATGTCGCTCTCTTGTTTCCACTAATTGGTAAATTACCCTGTATTAAGAAAGGGGCAAGAAAAATAAGGATTAATAAACATGCAAGTGTCAGTATTAATAACCAGGTTCAAACATGTCCAACTGTTCCATCAAATCCACAAGTTATACCTCAAATTGACAGTAATACTCCAGAACACTTACGACACAGAGATGGGCAAAATTCCAGTACATCCCAAGCTTGTCTTGAAAATGCCAAGGAGGATAGCTCAACAGAAACCTGTGCTGCTTTAGCTCTGAATCCAGACAA